TTTAATTATTTTTAATTAACTTGAAGGGAACCTATGCATTTATCAAAAAATTACATAACAAAAAACAGAAAATCCTCGTCAGAGCTGTTCATCTTAAAGCGTTTAAATTTGATGAGAAAGTTTGTAGATTTTTGCATATAAATAGAGAACAAATCTGACAATGTGTCAAAGTTAATTTATAATTGGTGTTTGTATAGATGTTGGCTGATATAGAAATAGAGGAAAAATTTGTCATCATGTGTCAAAGTCGACAGGTGCACTTATTGTTGCTTGACAATTATAATTACTTTTCGGCACTCAGTGCGGATAAGGCCTGTATCCGCACTGAGTGCGGAAAAGTGTAACTTTGAGCCCGGAAATGCGTGCGGAAAAGTACTACTTTGCGCACGCTCGTAGGAAAAATATTTTTCCTACGAGCGTGCGCAAAGTAGTACTTTTCCGCACGCATTACCGTTCTCAAAGTTACACTTTTCCGCACTCAGTGCGGATACGGGCCTTATCCGCACTGAGTGCCGAAAAGTGAAAATAAATGTCAAGCAACAATAAGTGCACCTGTCGACTTTGACACATGATGACAAATTTTTCCTCTGTTTCTATGTCAGCCAACATCTATACAAACACTGAATGTAAATAACTTTGACATATTGTCAGATTTGTGTTCTCCATTTATATGCAAGAATCTACAAACTTCTTTCGCATCAAATTTAAACGCTTAAAGATGAACAGCTCTGACGAGGATTTGAATTTTCTGTTCTTTTTTTTTTGTTATCTAATTTTTTGATGAATGAATAGGTTTGCTTCACGTTAATTGAACAAATTATCGTTTTTTTTTTTTAAATTTTTGTTGTTACCTACCTGATATGAAGCTCGTAGGAAAAATTTTGTTCCTAACACGTGCGCAAAGTGTCTTTTCCACACGCAAACACGTATCCGAACTCCGCTTCGCGTCGTTCGTATAACTGTGTTTGCGTGCGGAAAAGTAACACTTTGCGCACTTGTTAGGAAAATAACTATTTCCGCACTTGTTAGGTAAATAGCTATTTCGACTATAATTGTAAATTTTAACATGAGTATACATAGGTGTGGACCATAACGTTGAGGATTTTTTAATTTTGGCATTTTCCGAAAAAAATTCAAGAAAATACTGCTTCTCCCAAATTTTTAATATTTTGCCGTTTTCTTTAGCATTTTATGTGGAAATTTGGATAGAACTAAAATTAAAAATTTGGTTTCATTGTGGTTGCTAACTAATTGTTTATTGGTTGTGTTGATGGTTACGGCACCGCGTTTTCGATTGTATGTTTGTTTCCACCAAAGTAGCGGCCGTAAAGTAAAAGCGGCCGTAAAGTGATAGAGCAAATGCGGCCGTGAAGTAAATGCGGCCGTAAAGTAAATGCGGCCAAAAAAGATATACTTTAGGGATGATATTGAATCCGTAAAACTAATCTTTTTGTGACAGTGGCCTAAAAATGTTCTTTCACAATTCTCCGTACTTTTCAAAGACCTTTTCCGAGGCCATAAAAGAACTTTTCGCGAATTTTAACCAGACAGACTTATTAGGTACTATATACTTTAACTCAAACTGGACTAGACAGCTAACAACTGGCAACTGCCTTCTACTTCTAAAAACCGCCTGTTTTATAGTTTCCGATTCCCCCATCATTTCTTTGTCCATGACAATTAAGATGATGAAATCTCCTTGAAATTTTTGTCATTTTATTTGTTTAAATCGAATAATAATTATGTCGCAACTTCCTGATTTTATCGGGGTCAATACATTGGTTCAAGAATGTGAGGATAACACAAAGAAACCGATAGAACACGTGAGCCATAAATCATGGATTTTAATTACATTGGCCTCGCTAAAAAAAGTTCATTGATCGGATGTTAGGATGACATCACGCTGGACTCTGGAGGAAATAATATAATTTCGAATGTATTTGGGGTCCCGTTAATTTGTTCCATTTTCAATTTATCGATACTGATTTGAAATACCGGAAATTCAGTTTTTGATTATTTGATTATATTTAATTTTTACAGTAAATACATTGTAATTTACGGGTATATTTTGCGGATCATTACAAACCCATTTTTTCTAAGGCAAATCCCCTTGAAGAATTTCATCTCGTTGTACCTTTGTAAAAAAGAGTAATAAAAAGCATTGGTTGACAAAGGGCATTCAAATATCTGCAGATATACTGGGTGTCAACAAGATCGCTTTCGCTCTGGCATTTTTTTTTTTTTTTTTTGATCGAAATGAATTTCAGTGTAGAATTTAGATTTGACAAATGTCATCTTTTGACGTATGTGTAAAAGTCTGGGAACTTCCGGTTTTACCGGAAGTGACCATAGCTTCATAATTCTAAATGGCAACCTAGCATTTTTTAAGTAGTTTTGAATTCTTGGCATTCTGTATATTGGAATATCAAATTTAAATCTCATTGACGCAGTGCCGGCCCGAGGCTACTCTTAGGATGGAGCGAGATCTGACTTTGGCGCCCCTAGCCTGGATTTTGACCAAATCTAATATAATGTATAAGTATGTCTATTTATCTTATCAATTGAAATTTGAAAACATTTTTGTTCGTTGGTACCTAATCTTTTCCTTTTGAGAGTTGATTTGAAGTAGAATGACAAACGAATAATTAAAGTTTCTACGTATTTAATTATTATACCTATTATTCACTTTTCAAAGAGATCAGTAATCACCACTTTAACAATTAGATACATCAAAAAGTTCTCTTATTTACTAAAATTTAGTTCACATGCTTTGATAGGATCAATAAATAATCAACTTTGGTAACATCACTTATAACACTTAGGGCCGGTTTATTCACCTTCCGATAAACTGTCAGGCATGAAATCTGAAGGACAAAAATGCAATATCCAATCCCATTGGTTGTCCAGTTATGCGCCGACCGATAGAGTTATAGAATGCTAAATTTATCTTGCCGTTAGTTACCCGCAAGTTTATCTGAAAATGAATAAACCGGGCCTACGTACTAAATATAAAAATCGAAAAAACAAAATACGAAATTTTAGGTAAATTTCTGTTTGCATACTTTTGCATTGCAGCTTATTTGTTTATGATCTCCTCATGTGACAATGTCTGAGCTATAACATTTTCAATGGACAGCAGGGCTGGATCTGAAGGTTTTTCTTCTGCTAGAGTTGTCCAGATATTAGGAAACTTGCCAATTATTAAATGCTAACGTCTGAAGAACTGCTTTCAGGTGACCGTTATCACTATCCAAGAACTTTTTCAAGCACAATATTTCTCTTAAAAATTCTAATCTCGAAATATCGTGATTATATGATCGGGTGAAGGCGCCGCCACGCCCACGATCCGTGCGCGTCTTAAAAAAACGTCAGGACAGGTTATTCACATGGGATTCACATACGAACCACAAGCTTGCTGGCAAGCATAAAAGCAAAATATCGAAAAGCGGAGACAGGATTCGAAGCAAAAATATATTTTTCCCGGGGCAAAGGCGCCCCCCAAGGTCTGGCGCCTGAAGCTCGCTCCGTTCCCCTTATGGTAGGGCCGGCCCTGCATTGACGAAATTTGTGAATTTTAGAACAAAATATGTTTTTGATCTAAGACTACCAGGATTTGCCTCAAACCATTTATTTTGGCACACATAAATGTAGAAATTTGGAAATGCGTTGTTTTCTTTTATCATTTGTCTACTAAAAGTTTCCAAAGTTGGCAAAATCGTATTTTATGTGATAACTTTTTAATAATTTTTAATAAAATTAAATGAAACCATGCACTCAACTTTCACATCTAAATTTGATGCCTTGCTTCAAAATAAAGATAACAATGTACCTATTGAAACTTTCTAAAAAGACTAATTTTCAGTAAATTTTCTTTAACTTCCAATTTGAAAAGTTACAGAAAAATATCGACAAGCCCCGGTACCAATGACCTATTAACACAGATAGACAGAACAATAAACAATAATATCGGTTGACTACATGTCAGGAACCGCATCTCTCCCCACTACTTATTAATCCTTGTGTTATTTTTTATCTCTCTCTAACACGTGGAAAGCGATTATTTTTCAATGAAAATTAGCAACGCTGCAAAAAAATAAATCCCACCTCGAATTCCACCTTTCCACCAATCAGCGGCTTCTATTCAATTGTCATGTCAAAATGCGACGAGCAGGTATTTTATGACAATTTCCATTTGTCAATCAGTGCGCAATGAGTGTATCCGCATCTTTTTCTAAAATTATGTAAAATATAAGGATAAAGATACACTTTTGTAGTACTAATTCTGGTTTCATTTTCAGAGTTGCCAAGTATGCGATAGTAAAATGGGGGCGGAGTTAGCGGAATCATTTGAATCCCTACTCCTAGCCGCTTTCACAGCTCACCCCCCCTGGCCCATAAATATGTAGTCAACCAAAACAAAGCTATTTTATCAATGGGATGTTCTGTCTATCTGTGTTAATAGGTCATTGCCCGGTACCTATCGGAAATGGCAAAAAGCCGGTGGCTAATGTTGTCGTTGTCATACTTTTAAATGAATGCACCTTCACGCACCTTGGAACGACAAACAAATATGGCCTGTCAATGGGCCAATGACAACATTCGCCACCAGTTTCTTGCCACTCCCGATACCGTGGCTTGTCGATATTTTTTTGTAACTTTTCAAATAGAAAGTTTTAAAAAATTCATTGAAAATGGGTCCTTTTAGAAAGTTTCAATTCATCGTAAGCTTTATTTTGAAGCAAGTTATTAATTTCAGATGTGAAAGTTGGGTGGTTTCATTTAATTTTATTAAGTTATCACATAAAATACAATTTTGTCATTCCATTGGAAGATCGTTTTCTCTTAATTTACTGAACAATAATTATTGATTTGTATTGTGAAACGCTATCATACATGAAGAATTCAACCCAAAGTCAGTTGATTGGCTGGCCGTTAATAAAAATGGCCACATTTCAGAATTCTAGATTTTTTCCCTTTTGTTTAATAAAAATCATAAGTTTTTGTAGGGCACACAAATATACCTATATATTCTGTATAAAAATATAATCCTATTTAATATTTGATCCAGTTTTGTTCGGAGTAGAACCGCCAGATCCAATTTTCGATCCAGTTTTATTTGGAATAGAACACCCAGATCCAATTTTTTTCGGAGAAGAAATTCCGGATCCTTTTTTACTTGAAGACGCACTTCCAGATCCTACCTTTGGCACCAAAGATTTCGAGATACTATCAGCTTTCATCGAACAGCAACTAGATCTAGAGCTCTTTGAACTAATCGAAGGGCATTTGCACCATTCTTCACTTTCATGCTGTTGTGGCAGCTCCTGCTGAGACTTTTGTGATACTTCAACCGAAACGTGAGATCTTGCCGTTGGAAGATCTATTACAAAATTTACGTTTTCAAGTCGTCGATTAAAAAAAAAAAATACCTGAAATGTGTTCAGTCGTAGCCGCTTGTTTTACATTATCAATGTCGGGTGTTTTTTCGGGAACTGCTTCTCCTTCAGTGTTTGGGACTTTCCAAACGAAAATAGTACCAGCAGCACTACCGCTTATAACATGCTTACCATCAGCACTAAACCGCACTGACGTTACGGCTGCCGAATGACCCATTCCTATATGAGTTGTCATACCTAAAAAAAATAGGATTCGTAATATTATTACATAACTTTAATCTAATTGTAATTATTGCCTTCTTGGTATCGCCACAGTTTGATAATCTGATCGTTGCCACCCGTAATGAAATATTCGCCAGAAGGCGAAATATCCAAAGTGTTGATAGTACCAGTCGGAGACCCTTCCAGTTCTCGCACTAGACACCCATCCAATACTTCCCAATAAGCGATTTTTCTATCGGAACCACCTGTTAACAGCTGCACGCCGGAGGGAAAATACTTGACGCACAAAAACAATGTTTTGGCAAACAAAATTTGCCTACGACATTGTCGCTCGAGGTCCCATATTATGCAGGTACCGTCCGTACTGGCACTAGCCGCTTCCGTATCGAACTTATTGATGTGTAGCGCTGATATTGGACCTTTGTGTTCCTAAAACACGATTCTAGTTGTTAGTGTATTCATACTGTAATAAATTTACCTACTTTGAGTGTACAAATTAGCTGTTGCCTGTAGGGAGACACTTGCCAAAGTCGTACTTGACCCTCACAACCTCCACTAACCAGCATCCGTCCGTGCGACGTAGTCGTTAACGCAGAAACTCCTTTATTATGCGCATTTAGTATAGCGTACATTAGACGACCTGTCAACGGCGTGAACGAACGAATTACTCCGTCGTTCCAGGCCGTCAATATCGAACGACCATCGTGAGCGAAAACGACACTGGAGCAAGTGAAGTTTCTCACGCATATGCGTAAGAGCTCTTGCATTGTGGTCATCGACCATACGCGTACGTTGTTGTGACTAGCTGTGGCGAAAACTTCGGAAAAGTTGCTGGAAAAATGTAAATCTGGTTATGTCTATTGCGATATACGTTCACGATATTTTGTGATGCGATATGATTGAATCACCCCCAGATAACACCCAACATCCGATGGATATCCATTTTAGGTACAAAATATGTACAGATGTCCAGGGACATTAAATGGACATCCAATGGACTATATTTTTTGGACAATAACTGATAACAGCCAGAAACGGATATCCAATGGAAATCCATTAAGTGTCCACAAATGTTTCTAAAAATCGTGGTCATAAACTGGACATCTAATGGACTATATTTTCTGGACAAAAACTGAACCACAAGAAACGGATATCCTCTGGAAATCCATTTATCGTCCACAAATGTATATAAAAATCATGGTCACAAACTGGACATCCATTGGACTATATTTTTTAGACATTAAATGGACAGAAAGGAACGGATATCCATTGGAATTCCATTTAATGTCCACAAATGTAAATAAATATCATGGTCTTGAAATGGACATCCAGTGGACTTTTTTTTTGGACAATTACTGAACTGCCAGGAATGGATATCCATTGGAAATCCATTCAGTGTCCATAAATGAACCTATAAATCGAAATAATTTTGTGATGCATGCATGGCATAAACTCCTGGGATGTCCAATGACTTTCTAGTGGATAACTATTTAGTGAAGTACTTATATACAATCAAAAATGAATTTTCAAATATTTAATTTATTAATAAGTTGTGGTAGGTAGGTATTAGTGGTCCATTTGTGAAATTCTGTCTAAGAAATTAGTCGATAGTACAGTGGTACAGTCGATAGGAGCGCTACGGAGTCACCCAATTAAAAGGGATAGAAGTTAACGTGACCGAGCGCCAGCCAATCAGGGCGCGGCATCTTGCGTTTCGCCATCTGCGCGGCCAGCCAGCACTCCAGCAGCAGCCATTACTCCTTCATGCTGCTGCCTGCTTGAACGATACACTCTACCGCTGTATTCGTACGCAACAACGGAATTATTCTACTTTAAAAATTGCCAAAAAACAGGTAGTTGTTCGTTTCCGCCTTTCAGAAAATCAGAATTATCGTTTGAAGAACGTTCCTCTAGTAATTAATCTGTAGGTGTAGTGTTGTAGTACATAGTCACCGCACACAACACAACGCCACCATTTCCATTGAAACCAGTGACCCCGGGGAGCAGGACGCTATCGTTTTATTTATTTTTTTCGCAAAAGTTTTGTCGTGTTGCAGTGTTGGATGTTGTTGGATCAATCACCCATCAGGTAAGAAATTAATAGATATACCTACCTAATTATTTCTGCTTATCACAAAATTAGAAAGAAATCGTAAAATCTAACCATAATGTGTCAATAAATTTTGAAACCCAGTCAATATGGCGTCAATAAATTATTATCAAAACATGAAAATATTTTTGGTTCATTATTTATGATTTATGATTTTTTGCTATGAATATTTCATCTAAAAAAAAAGGCAAATTTTTTTGGTCGTAGCCCGTTTTATAATTTACTTATTTGCTAGATGAAGAGTAGGTATATTTATAGATGAGACCTAAGTTATACCTTGATACAACCTCAAATATCAATCTAATAGTTTTTTTGAAAAAAAAAAAATTACAGTCGAGCTGTCTATAGATTTGGGTACTGTTCTAACTTTTATTTTGGTGAATACATAATTAGTGAGAAAATTAAAATTATTCATAGGTACTACCTATTTTCTGATATAGATCTTTTTTGTTTTTAGGTTGGAAAACACTGTTATTTGATGAGATTATAGATTTATAGATAGCAGTGAAACAGTATTTAGATGATTACTTGACTTTTCAACTCACTTTTCAAATAAAATGCCTAAACTTTCCAGATCAAAATATAGAAAAGCAAAATTGCATAGTGATATGAGTTTGGAAAATATATGTGGAACTAATAATAATCAAGAAAATAATGTTTCTTCTGATGTTTACTTAAGTAATAATTTCCAAGCTGACAATAATGCTCGCAATAATGTGAATATACACGCCACACCACTCATGGTAGCTTCTGAGAATTTCAATAATGACTTAACGTTAGCAGATCCCGGGGCAGATCCTCCTGATCTTGATGGCAATAAAGAATTAGATATCAATATTTCCCTTTCACCCCCAGTTTCACCCTCACCTTTTTCAGATTTAGAAGATTCAATTTCCAATGTTGTCCAAAATTTAGGAGTCAGTGACAATATTACAAAAAAAAAAGATATCACTTCGGAATTAACAGAGTGGGCTTTAAAATTCAACATATCTCATATTGCATTGTCTGATTTATTAAAACGATTGAAACCAACTTTTAATGAATTGCCCCTTGATGCCAGAAGTTTACTACATACACCTAGAAATTTGGAATATAAAATTGTTTTTCCTGGACAATATTTCCATTTCGGCCTAGAAAAATGTATTAAGAACCTATTTTGTTGTATTAAAAACAAGCCTATAGACAAAATTGAGATTTATGTTAATATTGATGGACTTCCACTATCAAAAAGTTCTGGATCTCAGTTTTATCCAATACTTTGCTCACTAGTGCAAAATAGAAATGTAGTTGACATAATAGGTATTTACCATGGAAATGAAAAACCCAAAAATGTGAACGAATTTCTTAAAGACTTTGTGGAGGAAGTGAATAAATTTTCAGAACAGGGTATTATAATTAATGATCAGAAGTATCAGTTTACAATTAAAGCATTCATTGTAGATGTACCGGCAAAGGCCTTTATCACTTCTACTAAGGGGCATAATGGATACTACTCATGCTCTAAGTGTGAGATTGAAGGGGTATTTATACAAAATAGAGTTTGCTTTCCAAATGTTAATAACTTGGTTTTAAGAAATAACTATAAATTTAGACAGAAAACTCAAGAAGAACATCACTTGGGGGCTAGTATTTTGGAAAAAATACCTAGTTTAAATATGATAGATGATTTTGTTTTGGATCCTATGCATTTAGTTTACTTGGGTGTAGTTAAAAAACTCATAGTTACACTTTGGTGCAATGGCGCTCCTTCAATTAAGCTATCTTTCCGTGAAATTTCAAACATTTCAAAAAAATTATGTGATTTAAAATATTGCATTCCGGCTGAATTTAATAGAAAGCCACGGTCTATGATGGAATGTAAGAGATGGAAAGCCACAGAGTTTTACCAATTTTTAATTTACACTGGCCCCCTCGTTTTAAAAGATATTTTGACAAAAGATAAATATTTAAATTTCTTGTCTCTCCATGTATCAATATACATCCTTTCCAGTCCAAGTGCTTCCACAGAATTAACAAACTATGCAAGTGAATTACTGGAATATTTTGTCCATACTTTTAGTCTTCTTTATGGCCAAGAACACTGTTCCCATAACATTCATAATCTTCTGCACCTCCATGCAGATTTTACTAAATTCGGTCCATTATTTAATTTTTCAGCATTTCCTTTTGAAAATTTCATGCAAATCATTTTAAAATTAGTACGTAAACAAGATAAACCTTTAGCCCAAATTGTATTTCGTAAATCTGAACTCAATGATTTTCTCTATAAACAAGAATCATCTGTTGATGAACCTACTTTCAAATCACGACATTTTAATGGACCTCTTATCGATATTGACGAAGAATATGAGCAGTTTCAAAAAGTGCATTGTCAAAATTTCTTGTTAACTGTGGAATCACCTGATCATTGCTGTTCATTAAAAAATGGAAATTTAATATTAATAAGAAACATTTTAATAAAAAAGGGTTTGCCATATATAATTGGACATAGATTTCTAAATGTTTCTGATTTTTTTACTGAACCTATAAAATCATCTTTACTTGGCATTTATTTAGTAAGAAATTTGGACAAACTCCAACAGTGGCCACTTTCCGAAATAACTTCAAAATGTTTGAAATTACCATTCAAGGATGATGTTTTTCTAGTGCTTCCACTCTTACATCTAAATTAACATTTTGGGATAGCTGGTAGTTTTATGTCCTAGGAAGTGATTTGCTTTAATATCATTTATTTTATTTATTCATTGGTACACTTTACAATGAACATCACAGCTAACATGAATGTGTGTATTTTTTCAAGTCTCGTTTAACCTAGGTACAAAAATAACTGAACTTTATTTCTTGATAATGTCTCATATTTTTCAAAACTCATTCTCTATCAAAAAAAAATTATAAAATATTTTCTATAAGTAAATTAAAATATTTAAAAATGGTCAATTATCATTCTAAGTATATGTAGGTATACCAGCTATTGTCTGCTAATTCAAAAGGTAACTATATACAGGGTGGTCCTTCGGGAATGACATCGATTGCTTATGGGAAAACTGTGAAAGGTAAAAATTTGAAAATTTGGCAACATAGCAATGTCGATGGGGGACATCTAGGTAAAATATTTTCAAGATGGCGGCATTTCCGGTCATACCGGAAGTTGATACCAACTCGGTTATTTTAAATAGAACACCCCATATATTAATGTATTTTTGGATTCCACATAAAATTCTGAGCAGATTTCATGTAATATACCCTATACCTAAGTTCAACTGTTTTGGAAATATTGACAGTTGAAAATTGACTTTTTGCAACTTTGACAAGCTGTAAAACCTAATTGGTTAATTTTAGAGGAAAACCGATTTCACATTCCTATCTTAGATTTTTATAAACTATCATTTGACATCAACTTTGAATTAAATCCATGATTAAAAATTTCAGTTAAATTTAATCTCCGTTTAAGTTCAAAGTTGGTGTCAAATGATAGTTTATCAAAATCTAAGATAGGAATGTGAAATCGGTTTTCCTCTAAAATTAACCAATTAGGTTTTACAGCTTGTCAAAGTTGCAAAAAGTCAATTTTCAACTGTCAATATTTCCAAAACAGTTGAACTTAGGTATAGGGTATATTACATGAAATCTGCTCAGAATTTTATGTAGAATCCAAAAATACATTAATATATGGGGTGTTCTATTTAAAATAACCGAGTTGGTATCAACTTCCGGTATGACC